GGGGGGGGGGGGGAGGTGTAACTACCGACAGACCTGAATAATGGCGAGCCTTTGTCGTGAGAACGAATCGTTTGGAGTTCTCTCTCTCTCCCGCCTGTGTATCTATCTACTTCCCGTGGGTAAAATAGAATTGACAATACATTCAATTCATGTTCTCCGCAGACGCATGTGGCAGATGCGCGGAGCTCCAGACACAACCCAACATCGACAAGCTGGTGTCCGAAACCCGGTGTGTGGGGAGAACATGTACCAAGGAAGGCCTAGGAAAGAGGAGGCCCAACGAAGCCCGACCGGGACCGGATCGATCGATTTGAGGCACGCCTGGCCCAACACATGACAATAGAAACAACATCGCGCCACCACCCTTGCCGAGTCTCAGCAAGAGACCAAGCAAACCAAGCAGAACCACCAACGCTCCCCAGCAGCGCGAGGACGCGTTCGTGAAGCAAACCAGGGGTGTGGGGGGTGGGCGGGGGGCTATGCCTGCTCAACCGATCAACGTACCCGCGCGCGTACGTACCGGCCGCCGCCACACTCAAAAATGCTACAATACAAACCCCACCTGGCCATCTGGTCCGGGTTCCTCTGTAGCGCCTGCCGCACGCACGTCGCGAGGTACGTGGCCGCGTATCTTTTCGCCGCCGGGTTCAGAGTCACCGGCAGGCTGACCTTCCACGGGTTGTCGTCCGGGGCCGGCGCCGCCGCCGCCTCTGGTGCGACTCCACCCCCGCCTCCCTCCTTCCCCTTCGCGGTGGGTGCGGAAACCTCGTCGGCAGGCGCATGCTCTTTCCCGGGGGGGTGGGGGTCGCTGGGAGCTACGGTCGTTGGCGACGGGGCCCCCGGGGACGCCTGGGCAGCTCTATTCTGCGCGCTGGTTAGCGTTTGCGATGGCGATGCCGCGGCGCCCGAAGATGTTGGAACGTTGACCGGAGGACACACACCGTGGACTCCGGTCCGCGGAGCTCCCCCCAAGGATGCCGTCGCCGCCGCCCCATCGAGAACGATTCCGCCGCCCCCTCCGGAGACGGTCGATGCGCTCGTCGCGATGGAGGACGTTTCCGAGAAAGACGTCTCCGCTGTCGCGTCGGAGTTCGGCGATATCGGGGTGCTCCTGTTGATTCTATTAGTGCTGCCGCCGCCGCCGGTGCCTGCCCGTGCGGCGTGTCGCTTTGCCCTGTTGCTCGCTGCACCGGTTGACGGGGTTTGTGCTATCGCCGCCTTGCTAATGCTGCTGCTGCTGCTGCTGCTGCTGCTGCTGCTGCTGCTGCTGCTGCTTGGATCACGGTCTATGTCGCCGCGGCCGGAAGTTGTTGAGCTGCTATCGCCGCCTTCAAGCTTGCTCCCGGCCTTGGCACGAAAGACGTCACTACCACTGTTACCGCCGCCAGAGAGGGATCGGATCGCCTCCATCATGATTTGCTCGCGCAAGCAGATGCTCTTGACGTAGGCCTTATCGGCGGCTCCTGCGGTCCTTGTGAGACCGACGAACCTTAGCCAACAAGTAGAGGCGGCGGCCGAAGTAGGGAGGATCGGGAGTTGCAAAAATAGCACCAGCAAGAGCAGCAGTGCCACGTCAGTAACCCATCCGTCGTATCACCACGTGGTGTATTGCATGATGTTCAGGCGACACTGTGCATACAAAAGCTCGATAAAAAAGGACACAACCCCCTTAACTAGAATTTGCGTTCATCTCTTACCACAACGTTACAAAAAAGTATGACGGTTTGGCGCCATTAAAGCAAACGAACCACACTCCTAGGAAGGCCGGAGGTTTGCCGCTGCAAATGGATTGAGTTTGTTCCCGACAACCGGGGCCTCGACTCCAACCTCTGGTCTGCTGCCGCTCGCTCACCTGCATTCCTTCTCCTTGCTGCGAATGCGACTCCGCAGCTGAACAAGCTCCGTCCCGCTGCTGGGGAGGCTTGCGCACACCACCAGCGCGCAGGCCGGCACGTCGATCCCGTCCCCGCACGCAGAAGTCGACACCAGAACGTTCTTCAGACCGTTCTGGAAAGGGGCGAGCGCGCGGCGCTGCTGGTTCAGGGTCATCTCCGACAGCCCGACGATGGACTGCGCCTTCACGAACGGCTTGGCCTCCTCCAGCATGGCCGGGGTAGCCAGCGCCAGCTCTCGCCTGGACACGAACACCAGCGCCGAAAATCTCTTGCCCGAAGCGTCGCAAGCGCGCTTGTGCTCCTCCAGCAGCCAAGCAATCTTCGCGAGCTTGGATCCGTCGGCCCTCCTGACCGTATCGCCCCCCGAGGCTGCTGCGCTCCCGCCGTCCGAGCCTGACACCGTCGCTACGGCCGAGAGGTTTTCCTTGAGCACGCCGATAGTCTCCTCGAGCTCCGGGTCGCTAAAGTCGTTCCCCTCTCCGCTACTGCTGCTGCTGCCGCTGCTCCTCCCGTTGTCGAGCTCTTCCAGCGCTCTCTGCCAAATGGCCTCGCCGCCGATCTCGTCCACCGCGAACGACAAGTTCATCAGGCTGTGCAGCTGGGAGGCCTCATCGTTCCCTCCCCCCCCGCCGCCGCCCTCGTCCATGACAGTACCGTCGGACTCCCACCAGTCCTCTCTCTGCTCCGCGCCGCCCGCAGACAGCGCGCGCTGGCACAGCGCCGTGAAGAACTTGTTCGGGAACACCCACGCGTCGTCCCTGCGCGGCACGTCGGCTCCGGCGGTGGCGATAGCCGTGGTTGCGGCAGCGGCGTCCCTCATCCTACCGCCCAGGCTGTCGAGGAGGCTCTGCGCCTGAGCGTGTGCTTCGGAGGCCTCGGGGGCGAGCCCTACCAAGCGCGAGAGCACCAGCTTCTCGAGGCAGCCCAGGAGGGACGTCTCCGAAGCGGTGGCGGTCACGTTCACGAGCTCCAGGTCCACGGAGGGTGTGAGACTCTTCACCTGTGTGTGAAAACACGAGAAGAGGGTCAGGGGACAACAGCCGCGGGGGGGGGCTCAATCACGCCCAGTCTCCGGCAGACGTCCCTGAATGATCACTGCAACGACACCCCCCCACGAGACTGCCCTTTCAAGAGACTTTTCTCGTTCTCACATTGACCCTACGTTGCAATCTACAGGTAAGATGGTGCACGACCGAAAGGGAGCGTGCTGTGTGTGTCGAGACAACGGCTACAGTCTTCGTGATAGGAACATTTCGCACACAAAGCAGAGAGTGGGCTGTACAGTGCATCGGGGGAGTAGAAAAGGTGACATGGTCGATGGCTAAAAAGGAGGGGCTTGCAAACATGCTGGAAAGTATGCGGCGTGTGTGGTTTTGCCGGCCTCCATCTCTCTGTCCGAACAACTTGAACACCAAGCATGTGACGTACCCAGGCTCAAGCCGTGCACGTGGAACTACGAAAAAAGCATGCGCTTTTAACATAGTCTTCGTGGTTTGCGGGCACGATAGCAGAAACAAAAGCTCAAGTAAACAAACAGCACCCTGGTTGAAAGCGGAGCTACCCCGGCGGTCCCGGTTTGGACTGCGACACAAAAAATGACTTGACGTTGAAGCTCACACACCACATTCCGAAGGTACAAAATAACCAACAATACAGCAGCAACGGCCATGGCAACAGCAGCAGCACCACCGCCAGTAACAACAACAGCAATAACAATATCGACAGCAGCAACAATAAAGACAGCATAAACGTCAATATTAACATCACCAGTCTGTTCAACCACCCACCTCCTGAAGATGTTGCACGGGCGCTGCTAGGTCCGCCTCGAGCCTATCGAGCAGCTGGTTGATCCTAACGGTGGTGTCATGCACGCTCAACTCGCCCGCAGGAGACGCTGTGAGTGCGACCAACTGACACGGTCGGCAGAGGCATGTAGGCGGGGCTGGGTCGGCGTGAGGTCTTCAGCGGCAAAGCCTTCCGGGGCAATGAGATCATTCGACTTGATATTGAAAGTTCCCGGTTGAAACGACCGGCATGGGGAAGGAGCTTGCCCAGATTTCTTGCTTCATAACTGGCCACGTTCTCCGACGGAAGCGACACATGCTTGTTGTTTCTAGCATTTCTCAGCCAAATCTCCTACAGTACTCGTACACGTCTTGAGAGGAATTTTCAACAAAAATTCACCTTCCCTCATGAGGCTCTCCTCGCCCCCCCCTCCCCAAAGTACCCCCACAAGCAATGCTGCGTTATTCTGACAGCTACCGGGACAGACATAACCGACAGGCAGAGGATCACACACACAGCAAGGTAGATATGAACAAGAAGACCCCCAAGAGAGCATAGCAGTGTCGTACGTCTTACGACGCTAGAATACTATACACTCACTCCGACACGCTGAAAACAAGCTTCAAACGTGGGTCGGTCGGTTGGGGTCGCTTCCAGGGGTCTTCACAGGGCTAGCTAGACATTCGCGGTGGGGGGGGACAGATGGTAATCCACGCCGTACTACATACCACAGTACATGTGCACCTTCGGGAACTCTTTGGCACGGTCGGGCGTCGCCTGCACTGACGGGAAGGCCTTCATGGTCAGGAAAGACCTGGCCACCCTGTTGAAAGGGTGCCCCTTGCCGCAGTGGTGTGCCTCGTCTAGCACCACGCAGCAAATCGCGTCCGGGTCGATGTAGCGCTGCAATACCGACAGATCGGTCGTGAACACACGAGGAATAAGAGGAGAGTAATGGCCATAGCAACAGTGTCGTCAAATAACACGGAAGAACAACGGGAGAAACACGCTTCACTACCTAGCTTCCAAGCGATGACCGATACACGCACGCTCACAAGTGCCGCACCTACATGTTTGTACGAGTCTGTGGTTCTCGACAGAGGTATCCACCAAACCCAAGTGGGAAGTGGGAAGGGAAAGAACACACCTCCCAGGACTGAAGAGAATAACAACAACAAGTGGGAGTGACGTTCAAGGCAAGAAAGACAGGAGTTGCGAGAAGCGGGAAAAAACAGGACAAAAAACGAAATCAACACAAAGCAAGTCCAAGACCCTCGAGCAAACCATTCAGAACTGAAAGGGTGCACCTTGCACATGCAGTGCTCGAACGCTCCGGCGGTAGCCACCACGATGTTAGCGTCGCGGACGCACTCTAGCTTGACCAGCCCATGGTCGATCTTGCCTCGTTTCCCGCCGAAAGCCTGCAACGACGAGTCCACGAGCATCTCGATCTTTTTCACCGTTCCTCCTAGCTCGTTTTGCAGTCGGGTCGTCTGAAAGAAAACGGCGTGCAGGGAAGGAAGAGGTAAGAACCATGAGAGCAATGCCTGATGTGCGGTTAATGTTTTATGCTGATGGTGTTGTGGACGGGGAGAGGTGTGTGTCTTATCCCCGAATTCCACTATTCTCTCCCCCCTCTGGTCAAGCGTGGGGGGGGAACGACTGATATCAGACGAGGAACAAGCCGGCTACAAGCACTAGGGCCCCAGCTTTCTTTGGTGCAAGGCCGGTGCTGGTGGACCCCGGTGGAGTATACCTCGGTCTTAAAATGGACCATCCACCCAAGGGAACCGACCGGAACGAAGAACGTCACACGACAGATACCTACCTATACCCAAGGCGTTCTCGCGCGGGATCACATACCACTACGCAGTCCCGCAGTACACGCGTAAAACAACAACAAAACGGAAACAAACAAAAGAGCAGCGAGACCCAAACCTGTTGCATTGCCAGGGCGGTGGTCTCCACCAAGAAATATGCCTGCCTCTCCGGGTTCCAGTCCAGCATCTGCTTGAGAACCATCGCCGCCACCAGCGTCTTTCCCAGGCCGGTCGGCAGGTAGACCAACGAGTTGCGCTCGCACTCCATCACGGCGTCGAACAGCTCCTCCTGGTACCCGCGGGGGGTGCTCCTCGTCAGGTCCATGCCACCGCCGCCGTGGCCAGGATCATTGCTCCCCGCGAGACTCTTCCTCAACGTTGGCCACTGGCGTGGCGTGAACTGCCTTTCCTCTTCTTCCTTGCCAGCGGGGAGGAGCTTAACCTTGCGGAGGCTGCTCTCGCGGACGTTCTTCCAGCTCTTGGGGTGCTGGTGGTCGACGAGGAGGGCCTTCTGCTGGAAGAAGATGAGCTGGTTGTCCGAGAGGGGAGGGTAGCACTTGACCCCTCCGACCTGCCACCCCACAATGAGCACGCACGCCGAGGCGACCAGCGAGAGATTTTGGAGGACACACATCCACACAAGAGAGACAAGAAGCCGTTACTGACGTCTCGAAGGGGTTTTGACAGCAGAGTTTGCTGCGTACCACGTGGTGCACGACACGGAGCACTGGGAAAGGGGGGTTGTTCTCTCGCTCATGTCGGGGTGTAAATATGCACACGACGCACGCCACACTTGCGCGTGTCGGCGTAACGAAGGGTGTGCTCTAACCTGCAACAGCCGTGTACAGCAGTGTACGTCTCTCCATGACTCGCTGCCTCACAGGTGCAACTACGCGTGAGCCGTTCTTTCAGCGCTGCCAATCTACAGTACTTACGCTCGTCCCACAAACCCGCTCCATCAAAAGCAATAGCTGCACGGGGCACATGATTTCATCTTACTTTCCCTATTTACCATACAATTGATAAACATGGGATAACGAAACTGTACTGGCATGCGATATCAGCGCGACGACGTACCTTCTTGTTGCATTGCTGGCCGTTTTCTGGGCGCCTGTTCGCGCAGAGGACGTACGCCACCGATCTGTAGGGGTTTTTTTCGTTCGGCTGCTTGTGTGCCGGCACTTCCTTGATCCTGAACCCGATACCCTCACGGCCCTCCTTGCTCGCCCCCATCACCAGGTGAACGGACGTCCCATCGACGCAGAAGGATAGGTTTTCCCCAGCCCTGTTGTCGCATATGTTGCCCTTGCACTGGTACGCCGTTGCAGTGAGGGAACGTTGGCATCAGTAGGTGGATGCACTGCAACGCTTCATGATGTATTCGGCAGTAGCGGGTGGGGAGGTCGGGCGCGATTGCTGACTGCAACCGGTAGGTTGGTTGCGGTGCATGAAAAAAGAGAGCTAGGAGAGTTGGGACTGGGACAACTCGTGGAGATGCAGTGCTGCCATGTTGGTGTGGCGAAGACGGCGACAGAGCTTGCTTGGACGTATCTACCACTCAATACAGAGGTGGCTTCCATTGCCGTCACCGCTACTGCAGGCACACACACCGCTGCCAGCGGTCAGACACACTTGCTTACCACACTGGGGCTTTAGTCTACGCACTGCTGGTCTAGTCTTGTCTACATGCAACCGTCTTTAGGCCCAGGCGCCCCCCCAACATGTGTTGGTTGGATTTGGTGACGGAATGCACGGATGCGACGGGGCGAACTGGATCGCCAATGAATAGGAAGATAGCTTCCCTCTCACCTCGGAGCACTGCAAGCTCATTGCTGGGAGCCCCTGCAGCCCCCCGCCGCCCCAAGGAACCAACTCGCCGGCCGCTTCCTCCCCTGGTTCCTGGACGCCTAGGATCCTCGGCCTTTTTATATCGCTTCTCTCGATGTCCTCCGGCTTGTGTATGAGTTTATTCTTGGCTGAGAACATGCACAAGCCTCCCAGAGCCTAGGACACGCTTGAGTCGATATCTACCTTGCCGACCTTGTCCGCGGGGTGCTGCTGTGGGCTGCTGCTGCGGCTGGTGCGGTAACACAACAACAAGGAGAGCTGGCTTCAGGGGTCTCCGCAGAGTGTACCCAAGACGAGGTACCCAGCCCGGCGGCACCGCACTGTCAGCGATCACCACAGCAGCAGGCAGCTAGCTCCCCTTGCTGGTGGCGCGCTCGCGTGTGGCTCCCCGTTAACTGGTAAGCCGCCAGTTACACTAGCTGGACCATCATGGCGAGACCATCCTTGCTTATGGTGCTTCTTGCTGTTTCTTGCAACCGTACGTCCGGCTTCGCCCTCCGCGGGCCGGTCCATGCCCGTCGCTGCCGGACAAGCGCACCGTTTGCAAGACGGTAAGTGTGCCGCATCTCCTCAAGAGCTGTGCCACTGCCCCGCACAGCTTGAAGGGTAGAGAATGGAGTCTGTGCAAGGGGGAAGGTTTGCGCGTGTTGTGCTTTTGGTTGCACGATGGTCGGTCTGTCGAACTGGGCGTGCATGTATCATGTGTCCGCGCGAGCGATGGACGTCACACCTTTCTCTTCCTGTTGTAGCGGTGAGACTTTGCCACTGCTAGACACAACCGATCAATTCGGGAGGTTCTGGTTGTTGCCAGTGTCGCTGCAGCAGGTATATACTGAAGGTGTCTATCGCTCACGTCCGTGATGTACGAAGGGAGTACTGTAGACGGCGGACAGTAGCCTGCACGCTTGACGTGTTGGACACGTCGTCGAACATGAAAGCACCACTTGAAATGATGACGTATAAAAAGTGCTGCCAATTTGAATTTCAGAACTCCGCCCGCTACATCGGCCCGCTGGCCCGCCGCATGAATCATTCCACGGGCAGGTTTAGTACAGTACAGTATTTTTATTCCAGTATTTAACTGCGTACTAAAACGTCCAGTACAGTACAGTACCGAGAGCCGTGCTGCCAGTACAGTATATTCCAGTATCGAGAGCTGTACTGGAGATTGCAGTATTTTTATTCCAGTATTGAAAGCTGTACT